AACCTCTGCCTCCCAGGTTCAAGTGATTCTCCTGCCTCAGCCTCCCAAGTAGCTGGAATTACAGGCACGCATCACCATGTCTGGCTAATTTTTGTAATTTTAGTAGAGACGGGTTTTCACCATGTTGCCCAGGCTGGTCTTGAACTCCTGACCTCAAGTGATCCACCCACCTCAGCCTCCCAAAGTGCTGGGATTATAGGCATGAGCCACTGCACCTGGCCTACAATATCTAATTTTAAAAAGAAAAAAAAAAATGTGCACTTTCATCTCGGAGAGATCTTTCCAGGAAGATTTTGTCTAATGGTGAAAGGCTTGCCTTACGTAAAGGACAAAGACAGGGTAGATACTTGGCTAATGTTTCCGCTAGCAAAGTCTTCTGCCCCTCAGTGGAAAGTTTGTACTTTGGGCCATATAGCCCCGAATGCACCACTTATCCTGTCTGCATTTCTAAAAAGCATTACTTGAAAATGTAATATGACATTCTTGCCAAAAGCCCTGTGACACATGTAGTCCAAGATGCACTTGCAACTTAAACCCCACAACATACTTGGGCTACTGGGGATTCGGTGCCGTAACTAGTTAGTACTAATGAGAAGCACGGAGAGGAAAAGGAGGACAAGGCTGGGTACATTTGAAAATTAAATTATAGCTCCATGTTCTGGTAAGAATCTTTGAAGACTCAAGCAGCTAACTTCAGTTTTTTTTTTTTTTTTAATATACTTGAATATTTCTACTTTAAGCACTCAAAATGGTTTATTTTGAAAGTCAGGGTGTGCGTATTGTTTGAAAGGCATTCTGTCTTATGTGTTTCAGACTGCTTCTAAAATGCTGTGTCTCAGTGAGAAATGTCTTTTCTTTCTGGAGATTTCCTTTCTAAGCCTGGTGATCTTATATTCTTCTCATTTAAGAAAGATGCCACAATTTTTCCTTGAACACGGGGACAACAGAATCAAGATGGGACAGGTACACAGCCATTGTGGGGGTAGAACTGGTAACAAGGACTCTAGGTACTTCTGACCCTTCCTTAAGAATTGTTGCTAGAAAGTCTTCTGGATTCCAGCTGTGGAACAGCTGGGTATAGCAGCTGACCAGTCACTCTCCTAGCTTAGTGAATAGTAGATTATGATCTACAACTGCCATTTCTCTCCCCATTTCCCTAATTCAGTATCCTGCTTCTATGACTCTTGACATAAATAGTTCCTTCTTCATGTATCTCTTCTAGTCCCTTAAGACTGTCCTGTCTGCTTTCCACTCTCTTTTTACTCTACCTATATAGTTTGGTCTTACCCTACCCCACCTCTTAAATGGTGCATAATATGAAACTGAAGGGTTTAATTTGTTGTACTTGTTGAGAATTCCTTTTCTTAATTTAAAAAGCAGGTGAATTGAATGCTTTATGGTTTTCTAAGGAAGCACCTAAATTAAGTTGCTTTTTGTACATGGCCCTTGATTAGTTTTTTTCTTTGTGGGTCAGTGGCCCTCAATAGAAAAAAGGTCCCCCAGCCCTGTCCTAGGAGGCTTGGATGGGATTCAATGAAGCGTGCTTTTAAAGCTTACCTCTCTGGCATTAAAAACAAAAAAATCACTCGAAAGAGCCAAACTTTTTTCAATCACACCAGCTCTATGTAATTTCTCTTTAGTCTTAATATCAATGCCTTAGTTTTCAAAGCTGAACAAAGACAATCACAATAAATTACTCTCAATCCTGCTGAGTGTGTATTGGTTCTTTTTTTTTTTTTTTTTGAAGCACTTCAAATCAATGGTTAAAGAAGTAGGCATTGAATATGAGGAATCTATTCCATCATTTAACGATGCTCTGAGGCAAACAATCTGTGAAACTGTGCTTTCTCATTTTATCTCATTTACTCCTCCCACCAAAGGCTGGCTCTGATGTACAAATGGGGTGTGGCTAATG